TGGAGGGTCAAAGAAAAAGAAGAAGACCCCCAACAAGATGGGTCGGCCAGGTGGCATCATTGATGGCGTCAAGTGTGGCAGCGGTAGTGAGGTTGACCCAGGATCGGACATTGTTTCGTTCTGCTGTGCATGGGGTCACTATGAGTCGGTTCCGACTTGATGGCACCTGACAACAACAACAATATGTGACCCTTAACAAGGATTCCTTACTATGTCTCAGAAATTCTACCAATATGCTAAAGATAGAACTTGCTAGCCATGGGAGGGGTAAGCAGTCAGTTGAACACATTATTTTCCTTTACTCTTTTATCCTTAAAGTTAACTAAATAAGCTCAAGAGTTTATTTGTTTCAAATACGATATCCTTCTCCTTTGTGTCAACAATCACATGACCCAGATTTCCCAGAGAATCCAGAATCAAAGTATTCTACCTTACAATCCTTCAAGACAACCAAGGTGTCCTAGAATTTCTTGGCCTTTTTTCTAAGTTAGTGATTTCTTATAAACCTAAGGATCTTTGATTCATTTTAATAAGAATTATACTGAGTAACTTCATTATATTAATTGTTGATTTCTCCCATTCTTTAGTTGGAAGCAAGGTATCATTCTTTCAACCAGATGATGAAGTAGTGGGTAAGTTATAAGTCTTATGTTGCAAATCGTCTATTTTACTGCCTTTTCTATGTATAATAGTTAATGTTCATTGGGACCTAGTGTCTTATAGAAGTAATTTCTTGATTTTTGGAATTTGCTCTCAGATATCCAGTAGAGAATAGAATTGTAAACTTGATAACCAATGGAACATTTAAAGCATCACTATTTGGCTGTAGAATCTATCATCGATAGAAGGATAGCTCTAGTTTCTATTATGCTTGGCATAACCTTTTCCTGACAGTTTTCTAGTGTATTGCCAGATTAAAGGCTGCTGAATGAGTTAGCTTCAGTTTCCAAATCCCACTTGAATCCTGCTGAGCTTTATCATTGCTACTCATGTAGAACAAAAATTTACTTAAAACATTTCATTGGTTTTAAAATTAGTACTATTTTTAAAAATATATACATGTACATTTCTACCCAGACTCCTGGTATGGTGCTGTGGGATCAGCACTGGATTACGAACCACAAGGTCAGCAGTTTAACCCACCAGTTTCTCCTCAGAAACCCTATAAAGGGTCGCTATGCATTAGAGTCAACATGATGGCACTTAACAATAACATATTCCTACTCAAGGCAGTTACACAAATATATACAGTGTATGTCCTGGTGTGGTACTGTGGGTTAATGCACTGGACTGCAAAGTCACTTTGAACCGCAAGGTGGACAGTTCAAGTTCACCAGCTAACTGCTCCTCGAAAACCCTATATAGGGTCACTGTGGCTTGGAACCAACTCGACAACACTTAACAACAACAACATCTTTAATAGTAGACTTTGGGATAACTGATACCAAGGAGAAACAGCTGCAAACATCTGTTAATAATCGAAACGTGGGATGTATGCAGTATGAATCGAGGAAAATTGGAAGTTGTCAAAATGTAATAAAGACTGATAACCCTAGGCATTAGTGAGCTGGAATGGACTGGTATTAGCCATTTTAAATCAAACAGTCATGGTTTCCTATGACGAGAACAACAAACTGAAGAGCAGTGGTGTCACATTCATCATCAAACAGAGCATTTTAAGACCTTGAAGTACAATGCTGTCTGTGAGAAGATAATATCCATACACCTACACGAAGACCAGTTAATACCACTGTGACTCAGATTTGCACACCAAGTACTAAAGTGAAGAATTCTACCAATTTCTTCCATCTGAAATTAATCAAGTATGCAGTCAAGATGTTTTGATAATTACTGGTGATTTGAATGTGAAAGTTGGAAGCAAACAAGAAGGATTGATAGTTGGAAAATATAGCCTTGGTACTAGAAATAATGCTGGAGATCGCATGATAGAATTTTGCAAGACCGATGACTTACTCATTGCAGATATCGATTTTCAGCAACATAAAAGGCAACTATACATATGGATCTCACCAGATGGAATACACAGGAATCAAATTGAGTATATATGTGGAAAAGACTATGGAAAAGCTTGATATCATCAGTCAAGACAAGGCCAGAGGCCAACTGTGAAACAGACCATCAATTGCTCATATGCAAGTTTAGCCTGTTTCTGAAAAGCATTTAAACAACCCCACGAGAGCCAAAATATGACCTTGAGTATATTCTGCCTGAATTTAGAGACTATCTCAAGAACCCATTTGATGCATTAGACACTAATGACCGAAAATCCAAAGAGTTGTGGGATGACATCAAGAACATCATCCTTGAAGAAAGTAAAAGGTCATTAAAAAGACAAGAAAAAAAGAAAAGACCAAAGTGGATGTCAGAAGAGGCTCTGAAACTTGCTCTTCAGCATAGAGAAGCTAAAGCAAATGCAAGAAATGAGGAAGTAGAAGAGCTAAACAGATCATTTCAAAGGGCAACTGAAGAAGAAAGAGTTAAATATTACAATGAAATGTGCAGACTCTGGAGGTAGCATACTAAAAGGGAAGCACATACGCTCAATATTTGTCAAGTTGAAAGAACTGAAGAAACCATTCAAATCTTGGATTGCAATAGTGAAGAATTCCCTGGGCAAAATATGGAGTGACCTTGGAAACATCAAAAGATGGAAGGAATACACAGACTCACTGTAGCCAAAAATAATCAGTCAATGTTTAGTCGTTTCAAGAAGTACCATGTAATCAAGAACTGATGGTATTGGAAGAAGTCCAGGGTACACTGAAGATGTTGGTGAAAAACAAGGCTCCAGATATTGACTGAATACAAATTGAAATGTTTCAACCAACTGAGGAGTTCACTTGTCAACATAAAGAAATTTGGAAGACCTGACCAGCCGATTGGAAAGATCCATATTTGTGCCCATTCCAAAGAAAGTTGACCCAATGGAATGTGGTAATGATAGAACAATATCATTAATGTCACATGCAAGTAAAATTTTCCTGAAGATAATTCAAAAATGATTGCAGTAGTGCATCAACAGGAGACTGCCAGAAATTCAGTCCAATTCAGAAAAGGATAAGGAATGGAGGAATATCATTGCTGACATCAGATGAAAGCAGAGAATACCAAAAAGATGTTTACTTGTGCTTTGTTGACTGTGCAAAGGCATTCTACTGGATCATAACAAACTATGACTAACATTGCAAAGAATGGGTATTCCAGAACACTTAATTGTGTTCATGAGGAACTTGCACAAAGACTAAGATAAAATCATTCAAACAGAAAAAGGGGGGAGGATATTGAATGGTTTAAAATCAGGAAAGGTGTGTGTCACTGTTGTATCCTTTCACCATACTTACTCAAATCTGTATGGTGAGCAAATAATATGAGAAGCTGGATATATGAAGAGGAACATGGCATCAGGATTGGAAGAAGAGTCACTAACAGCCTGTGATATGCAGAAGACATAACCTTGCTTGCTGAAAGTGAAGAGGTCTTAAAGTACTTGCTGATGAATGTCAAAGACTATATGGATTGCACCTCAATGTAGAGAAAGTGAAAATCCTCAAAACTGGACCAGTAAATAACGTCATGATAAACTGAGATAAAATGGAAGTTGTCAAAGACTTAATTTTGCTTGGATCCACAGTTAACATTGTTGGAAGCAGCCATCAATAAATCAAATGACACAGATGCTTTAGGCAAATCTTCTGCAAAAGGCCTCTTTAAAGTGTTCAAGAGCAAAGATGTCAGTTTGAGGACTAGGGTGCACCTGACCCAAGCCACACTATTTTCAGTCATTTCATATGTGTGTTAAAGTTAGACAGTGAGTAAGAAACAATGTAGAAGGATCGATGCCTTTGAATTATGGTGTTGGCAAAGAATATTGAAAGTACCATGAACTGTCAGAAGAACAAACAAATTTGTCTTGAAGAAGTACAATCAGAAATGTTCCTTAGAAGCGAGCATGGTGAGATGAAGACGAAGTCTCTCCTCTCGTACTTTGAACTTATCAGAAGGAACCTATCCCTGGAACAGGGCAACATGGTAAGTGCAGGGTCAGTGAAAAAGAAGACACCCCACCCCCCAGCCCTGCACAAGATGGACTGACACATTAACAGCAACACTGGGCTCAAACATAACAACTGTGAAGATGACACAGGACCGGGCAGTGTTTTGTTCTTTTATGCATGGGGTTGCTGTGAGTTGGAACAGGCTCAACAGCACCTAACAACAACAAGAAGTAGTCTTTGAAATTACCTTTTCTCCATAGAGGATATTCATAGAAATATATTTAGACTTGAACAGCTTGTTTGAAGCTGTTAAGAGTATATTTATAGGCAGGATTTCTGTGCTTTTTTATAGTACTACCTTTGACTCGGGTATTTTTCTGGAAGATTTATAATCTATGTCTTTCCTGTCTTTGTTTCCAAGAAGTCAGTAATACTCTGTTTTTCACAGTTATCTTCAGTTTTATCTCAGTTTATCACAGTAAGGAACCAAGAATAAAACCAGACTTGTTGAAGGAAAAAATGGGATTCTATTGGAAGCAGACTGAGTGTACCTCATGGAACCAAACTGAAAAAAGATGCATCAGGAATAATTAGAACCAAGAACCCAGGTGCCCCAAAAACTCTTACTTGGTTCTACACATTAGCTATTGTCATTTCTGTTGACTCAGAGGTGAAGGAAGAAGAAGAAACAGAAAAAAGGTAATACTACAGGTGCTGTAGTATTCATGTCAGTAAATGAATGATCACTTCCCTCTCATGTCTCTGAAATCTCTATTCCCATATTAGCAAGTACTGGAACCTTTCTCAAAATACCTCTGAACAAAATTTATACTAGTCCTTACTGGCATCTCATAAGAAATGAATACATACTTGGATTGTTTTGTCTTAAATATCTTATTTTGATTTGCAGGAATTTTACCCCTAGATTCTGAAGACCCTGGGCTCTGTGAAGTTGTTAGAGTGCATGAGCATTACTTGGGTATGTAACATTTCAGTTTCCAAGAACTGATCTAAGTCTTCATTGATGTGTGGTGTTTAGTAACATTTTATTTCTTTGCATCTACTGTGAATATATGTGATAAAGAACTGGTAGCTGGTCATGTGAATGCTTTCTATCTTACAATTGTTATTACATGCTGTCAAGTTGACTCCGACCCATAGCAACCCTGTGTAGCGTTTCTGAGGAGCAGCTGGTGAGCTTGAACCACCGACCTTGCAGTTCAAACAGCTTTGCAGTCTGGTGCATTAACCCACAGTGTCACACCAGGACTACAATTGTTCTTATTGTTAAGTACCATGGAGTCCGTTCTGACGCATAGTGACCCTGCATAGGGTTTTTGAGACTGTAAATCTTTACGGGAGCAGAAAGCCACATCTTTCTCCCACGGAACAGCCGGTAGTTTCAAACTGCCAACCTTAAGGTTAGCAGCCCGATTCGTAACCCTTACGCTACCAGAGCTCCTTAGGACTACAATTAGTATCCATAAAATTCTTATTCAGGCTAACTAGTTTGTAGACGTTTCATCATTTGCAATGCCCATGAAAAGAGCTTTGAAAAGTGGGAGAGGATACTCAAAGAAATGGAAGAAAAACTCAAGAAGCATAACATACAAACTGTCCCACAGTAGATTACATTACAAATTAAGAAAGCAAGTGGGGAAAGTAGGCTTTTCCAAAGTACATCCTGGGTGAGAGGGGAATGGCTTTCTCCCACTTCAACAAAGTGAAGACAGGAAAAAGCACAGACATGACCATGTGAGGCCTGAGGGAATAATAAAGCCTAGCCTCCTATTATAGGAGCCTGTTGGTACAATAGTTACGTACTTGGTTGTGTTGTGAAATAAAAGTTTGGTGGTTCCAATATACCCAGCAGTTCTATGGGAGAAAAACCTGGCAATTTGCTCCCATAAAGATTACAGCCTAGAAAACTCTATAGGGGAAGCAGTGTATACACAGAACTTCCAAATGGCAAGGAAGTCAGGTAGATTTCAAGATGGAACAAACTGTTTTAAATACAGGAAGAAATTAATAAATTATGGAGTAACATGTAATTTATCCTTAAAATTAATACACCTGCACATCAGAATTAAAGAGGAAAATCAGAAAGATTTAGTAAACATGAATACAACAGAAATGAAAAGAAAACCCACAAACAAACTGAGTTCAGCATAGAAAATTGATGGAACAAAGAAACCAGCAGCACCACACACAAGAAAAATACACAACGCAAAATGACAGCAATCACACACACCCCAAAAAAAACCACAAAGAGAATAGAAACAAATACTGTTGAATGATGATGCACGGGGGAGATTGTAATCATTGCAGTGAAACAATGGTATAAAACCGATGTTCTCCCATGTAAACTATCATTCAATTCACAATAAAAACTTTAAAAAAAAAATGACAGCTATCAATTCATTGTTCTTGTTGTTGTTGAGTGCCATCGAGCTGGTACCAACTCACAGTGACCGTATGTACAACAGAACGAAACACTACCTGGTCCTGGGCCAACCTCACAATTGTTGCCATGCTTGAGCCCATTGATGCTGCCACTTTGCCAATCCATCTTGTTGGGGGTCTTACTCTTTTTCTCTGACCCTCCACCTTACCAAACATGATATCCTTCTCCAGCGACTCGTCCCTCCTTGACAATATGTCTGAAGAATGGGAGATGAAGCTTGGCCATCCTGGCCTCCAAGGAGCACACTGGCTGCACTTCTTCCAACACAGATCTGTTTGTTCTTTTGGCAGCCCATGGTACTTGCAATATTCTCCTCTAATCAATTCATACCTATCAGTAATTACACTGAATGTAAATGGATTAAATGTACCAGTCGAAAGACCGAACAGAATAGATAAGAAAACAGGATCCTTCAATATGCTGTCTACAAAGAGACACATTGAAAAAATGGAGACATAGAATCTCCAGTGAGTAGTATTCAGCCTGACTAGGCGGGGCTGATGCAATGAAATGCAGACGGGTCTCTTGTGATACAATAGTGAATAATTGTTATCAGGACTGATTGTGAGGGTCGGAAATGTAAAGGTAGACGTTTTATAGCAAGGAGGGGCGTGATTAACTTTTCAGTCTAGGAGTGGAGGTCCCTAGGACCATCAAAGGAGAAGAGCAGAGAGCGGGACCCTACTCAGAGAAGCAGTGATGCCTGAAATGGAGCCAGAGATGATGACGTGGAGCGATGGAGCAGCTGGAGACTTTAGATCCAGAGAGGAAGAGCTACTGTGTGCTGAAGACCGGGCAAAGGATTGCATGGAAGGGATTGTAACCGTGGCAATGAGACAATATACGATAGAATGAATGTAAAACTAATGTTCTCCCATGTAAACTATCACATAATTCACAATAAAACATTTAAGAAAAAAAAAAATGGAGACAGCCTAAATGTCCATCAACAGAAGAATAATTAAACAAACTTTGGTATATGCACTCAATGAAAGACTCCACAATGTTGAAGAATAATGATGAATCTGTGAAACACCGCACAACATGGATGACCTTGGAGGACATTATGCTGAATGAAATTTTTCAGTCAAAAAAGGACAAATATTGAGAATAATGTAAAATGTTGTAAGATTTTCCTAAGAAACAATCTATGATGGTTACGGTGGGCAGTGGGGAGAAGGGAGGAGGGAAAATTATTCACAGGCTACAAGATAGAAACATGTTACTTGGGTGACAGGGCTGGCAACTATACAACAAGAGCAAGGGTTAGCAAAGGAAAGATGAAAGTAGTGGGAGACATAGGGAGGAATGCAATAGTTAAAGGGAATAGAGGTGTAAATGTTAACTGTTCGTACATGGAGGGCATTGCAAATACATGGTAAAGCAAAGTGTATGATTTGCTGAATGTAAAACTGATGATCTGCTCTGTAAACCTTCACTCAATTCACAACAAGATTAAAAAAAAAATTTTTTTAACCCTATGGGGAAATATATGAGTCAAAGTTGATGTGATGGCACCTAATATCTACAGCCTACTACCAAATGAGGTTGTACTGTAGAGTTGGTTCCTACTCGTAGTGACTCTATATAGGGTTTCCAAGGCTGTAAATATTTATGGGAGCAGAAAGCCTCATCTTTTCCCTGCAGAATGGGTGGTAGTTTCAAACTGCTGACCATCAGATTGGCAGTCCAAAAGGAGAGGGGGGAGAGTCACAAATAGACCAACACCAGAGTTAGCACAACTGGTGACTCATATCATGGGGACAGCATTGTGGAGGGAACACAGTCAAGACCACAGGTCCAGAAGAGACATAAGTGTGGGGGGATTGGAGTAATGACTCTTCCTGTGAACACTTGTTAGCTGTGCCTCCAGGCTAGTGGGCTCTGAAAAAATGAAGTTACACAGATTACAAAGCAAGATCTGTTGTGACCCAGGAAAATACCATGTGCTGGGGAAATTTTTGAAAAATGTCTTATCCCTTGGCTTTGAAATTATTCCCTAATCAGATTATTTTATTTATTACTTAAAGCTATGTAAAACCTAGATAATATATGTAGAGTCTGAAACAGGAAAGAATGAGAAAACTTGTCTCTAGTTGCTGTTGCTAATATCTGTTGCTCAGTGCTCAATTTAACTGCAATGATAGTTTTTAATGTTTCTTACAGCAGTTTACTTCTTGAATATTTAAACTACAGGTACGTGTGCAAATGTATTTATAAAACCATAGTGAAAACGTGCTGCATCTCTTTAGTAATTAGGGAAAAAGCAAATAAAACCATTTTGAGATACTGTTATTGTATCAGAATAATCAAATCCAAATATGAAATTTCAGTTTCTCACTTCTCTGTTCAATTCTGACATCAGCTGCCCATGCAGAATGCTCATGACCCTAACCACCTGAAGTGAGGTCAGGTCTCACAGAAGGTCAGCGCTACATTGCCAACTAGGCCTGACTTCAGATTCCAGATTCCATAAGTTTGGGAGTCCACACAACACCCTCACTGCTGGCTGCAAATTCAGGGATTCACTGGACACCGGGCATAAAAATCAGGGATTCCCATTTCCTCTTTACTTCTTACCTGCTAGCTCCCACTACTTAGGATTTGACAGTTCCCTTGGGAATGATCAGAGCTCATAGAAAGTGCTATACTTTAAATTACAGCTGTATTATAAATCAAGATCTGCATAAAAAAGAAAACGCATAGTGAGATGTTTGGGAGGCTTCCAACACAGAGCTTCCATATAAAAAAAAAGGTACATACTATTCCCCAAGAGCAGATGTTTTTTGCTTACCAAGAGTTTCAGTGTCCATAGCTTGTATTAGGGGTCTCATTACATAATGCAAACTCCAGCCCCTCTCCCCTGAGACCAGTTGATTTCGAAAGATGATCATGAGGTATTACACCATGGGTCTGTCCAACCTGGCCAGTCCCCATCCAAGTCACCTTGTTACCTCACCAAACATGTTTGCTTAGGTGTGGCCTGGAGTCTTTACTGAAGATGATTAAAATTTTTTTTAATTTTTTTTTAGAGATTATTTCTCAGTAACCAAGGACAAAATCCAACTTCTTTGGGTAAAGTTCCCATAAGCCCCAAAAATGCACTCACTGGATTGACAAACTTTTTAAAGTTTGATCATCCCAAGTGGCAGGAATGTGAGCCCCAGAACCTTTTATGCACTGGGAGTATAATTTGGTACAAATTCATTAGAAAATAATTCAGTAAAATAAAAAATAATCTAATAAAAGTAATGATGTGTAAACCCAAGACCTAGTAATTCTCCTCCTAGTTATAGATCCCAGAGAAGCTTGATGTGCACCAGGAGACATGCACGAAAGTTCATCATCACAATATGATTTGTAATAGCGGGTGCAACTAGAAGCAGCTCAAATGTTCACCACAAAGAAAATGAAACAGACCATCAATTGCTCATATGCAAGTTAAGGCTGAATTTGAAGAAAATTTAAACAAGTCCTTGAGAGCCAAAATATGACCTTGAACATATCCCACCTGA